TGAACCGCCATTATTGAAAACTCAGAGCTCTTTGAAGATGTACGTGATTAGCATCAGGCAAATAATGGCACTAATGTCTAAATGCTTAAATTGCAGCATATTTCACTGTACCTATTGCAGCCGTTTCATTCATTCTCGTAAGCATTATTAAACTCTGTTATACGATTGCTTTGTTCTTCTAAACAGCTAATCCCGCAATATAGAGCCTACGCTGGAGAAAGCCAGCGAGAATTGATAGCTTACTTGAATGTTCAGTACATCTGTCGAAAGGCATGGAAAGCTAGGTGGTGTCGTAAGCATAGCAGCAGGAATATTTTAAGGCACTATCGCTCTGCTCTTCACGGAGCACCGCGAGTTCGTGATAATGTTCAGAACGGTTAAAGCCGCATCGCCTTATGGAGCATTCCTTGAACCTGGCCAATAAAATCGCACTAAGAAACACCTGACGTCTTGAAAAGTCCAAATTAAATAATCCTCTTGTCGAACGTCGCCGAGAGCCATGGAAATAATCCCTTCTGCACGGCTGTGGCGATCGTGAACTCGAGTTAGTTACACAGAATGCCTTTGAGTTTCCAAAGTTTCAAGAAGGGAATGTATCGCTATCAATAAATTGGCCCAGACGTTTGGTTTGGGTAGAGAATTGTGAGTACATAAGGAGCCCCAAAAGGTCACATCCCATTGATAACGTTCCTACGGTGGCCAGTTGAAGGTTAAAGACGGAAAGGCGCAAGATTGCGTTCTATGAACTTTGTAGGTATATCGCTGATAATTATAAATCATCATGCTAAGGTTTATAGGGAACCGCATTTGGAATTAAATCCGATTTGACCCAAAAGAAGTCCGAACAGTTGCTTCTCATTTATAGTCTTTGTTTTCAAAGCCCATATTTAACCAGACTGCTGGATTATCAGTATGTGTCGCGCTTGTCTACCTCGAAGACAAAGTAGTCGTTATTCTCTAAATAAAACTCTTGCGTAGTACCAGACAACAAAGGACGCCGCGAATATGGAGCTCA